TTCCGAAAAGCCAAAAGGGTCGAGGCCATCCTCATCTCAGGAGGGAGGATGCTCCAGAGGGCAGGCACCACAGCAGAAAAGGCATGTCTCCTGGTCCGTGCCAGCTGACATTCCTTGGCTGACGGGACCCAGAGCATGCCCAGCCTGCCGGACCGGATTGGACGTGTAGAAACAACTGGGAAAAGATGGTCCCTTAGGTAATCCTAACAGACCTAAATCACACTTTCAGAATTAATAAGCAAATCAGAAGGCAAACGTCTTTCACATTGCACACTTGGGAAGCTGTGCTCTCAAAATATGTATAGAGGGAGGGGAGGTATGTATCAAAATGCCTGATAGATTTAGTTGCCTTGAGAAACAAAGTTTTGTGCATTTTTGTTTATACTGTAGATGGTTGTAGAAACAGGATAAAAATGACATACCTAACTGAGGAGATCACTCAAATTCTCTTTGGCTGCCAACTATATGCTTCAGCCAGAGCACAGCATTTGAAGTCACAGAACAACCCATTGGGACCCCACTGATGGGCTATCTTACCTTCTTCAAGATAGACATACATGAGCCATCAGAAAGGCTGCCAAGTTTATAGCTAAAGCCATTTAATTGAGAGCTTCCTCCTAGAAGAGAATGGAGTCAACCACCAAGGGGATGATCTTATCTAATTATTTTATTGAACATTTTAATATATTCCAATATGCTGTACTAATTTTAACCTATTTTACTGTCCTGAGGACATGTTATGATTTGAGATGGTCATCTGACTAATTAATAAACAATAAACTAAACTAAACTAAACTAAACTAAGGCCTTCTGCAAACCAAGTATGTGTTTCATTTTGATGATGATGATGATGATTTTCTGGTATATCAACTTTACTGAAATTCTACACATTGTTTCATCAGCGAAGGTATTGTCACGTTTTCCGAAGGGCAAGACCCTAGACAAAGTCTACAGAGGAAGATTGCTGTTCATAATCATTCTTTCAAGCAACATTAGCCATTTGGGGCATCCAAGATGGGAAAACAGTTTCTCCATGCATAACATTAATTCCATAAATATAATTCTCTCTCACTAACTTTTCCATTTTTTTCTGGATGGCATTAACAGCACTCACCCTAAACAGTGTCATTTATAAGGCAGTGTCTAAAGTCTCATTCTACCATTCCATCCAGTAGCTCAACAGCTAAAAATAATACTTCTAGAAATCTGCCCATTTCCTGCTCAGATGCATGCCCTCTCCAGCTACCACAAAGCGTCCATGAATGACAGAGTCTCTAGGAGTGGGTGAGGTCTGGGAAAGAGAAAACAAAGTCAACATGATGTAAATTATTTAACTTTCATATCCTCCTTGGAAGGAAACAAGGTGTCACCATCTGTGGAGAGGGAACGTCACAATATGCAAAGAGCAGCTAGATAAAATTGAGGCCAGATCTTTGGGACTGGAAGAAAGAGTTATGTCTGGTAGTTAGAACAGGCAATCTCTGAGTCAGGAACAGAGCTTTTATTTCTGACTTTGGCGCCACAGAGGAGCATGGCACATGTTTACCCGCATTTAACTAAGGCAGATTTATTCCATCCTTGGCTTAGAGCCAGCTCTCCATTGTGCAACTTCCTAGCTTCCAAGAATCAGCTGCTACTGCTTTGCTCAAGAGTTCCATCAATGCTGGTGTTTCCTCAAACAGTACCGCTACCCTCTGTCAGTGATGCTGTAGTGCTCCATTTGGGATTTAGTGGATTAAAAAAAGGAGAGGAAGACATCTTGCAGAGAAGCTGGTTCACCCAACATGCTTATTCAGGTTAAAGCTACCAGATCTGCAAAACTCCAGATGACCGCTAGAATTCAGGTTGACTATATCTCTTTCCTGACAGATTGTTCTATACCATATCTGGTAGGCTTACTATTACTGTAGCTGTAACAGTGGGATGATGGATCCATGTAGAGAGTAAGGAAGACGACCTTGACAAAGATACGCAAGCGCCATTGCCAAGGCGACAAGGGGTAAAACATTGTCCAAGTTGAGAACATCCAGATAACATTCACAAGTGACTCAAACGGATACCTCCCTAATTCAATTAACTATAAGGAGGAGGAGGAAACACAATACAATCAGACTTGCAAGATTCTGTAATGGGCTGTAAGAGTAATCTTGAAAAACAGGGGGAAGTGCCACAACCAAGACAACATCAGAAGAAATTTGGGCCCAGGAGGAAATGTAATTTGAGAAAGCATCTCAGACTTGACCCTCCTACTTCTCATGAACAGGGTTCCTCAACCTCAGCAACTTTAAGATGGGTGGACTTCAACTCCCAGAATTCCC